TTTTTTTTTTTTTTTTTTTTGGAGAACTCGTCGTCTACGAGGCCTTTGTTTACAGTGAGAACAGCGGGGAAATAAAACTCATAAATATCACACGGCCCTCTCAGAGACGGAGACGTCTCTGTTTGAACGAGACGCTCGATTTACCGCCGGAGTCTCGGTACGTTTCTGTACGTCAGACAGAGGCAGGAGTTCAGCTGACCTTTCTGTGGAGTCGTGTGGTTTTCTTTTTGTTTTGGTTAAAAGTTGTCAACAAACATTTTTCAAAAGATATGGAGAATCTTTGGAGCCTTTTTTTATGAAACAGACTCAAAATTATCAACAATTTTCCAACAAATCGAACTAATTTACCTGAAGCTACCACTGAGAGTTTATCAGAAGTAAAGTCCCGTCGTCGTAAACTGCGCACCAATCATGTATTTGGTGATCATGAAGAAAAATAAGAGTAGTGAGGGAAATCCTGATTGGCGACAATTAAAAAAAGACATCTCCAAAATGTTTGTGAGAAATATAAATTTTCTTGTTAATTGCAGGTCATTTCATTTGCATTTGAAAATAATACASAACTATTTGTTTTTTTTGCAAGAATTTTGAACATTACTGTTTTGCTCAGAGCCGTCTGAGTTTCTCAGAATCGTCTCGATTTAGTTTTCGTAATTCCAGAGCGGCAGGGCTGTATTTTTTTTAATATTTTTATTTTTTTGTGGCCCCGGAGTTCCTGCAAATGTGCCATTCTGTGTGAATGCAAGGGAAAATCTGCTCATGTTCCCACAATTTTGAGTCTCCGACTAATATAGTGAGAAATTATCGATTATCGTGATAAATCACGATAATCGATAATATTGCAATATGTTTGTTTTCCTAATATCGTTCAGCCTGGATGAAAAATAGCTTTTTAATAAGAATTTATGAGTTTGTCTCAAAACATTTCTTATATTTTTACTGAAACAAGAAGTGATTTTCCAAAATAATGTACAATCAGTTTGACAGTTTATGTCCAAATCGCTCTAAAATGAACATTTTTTTCAGAAATTTATATGTATATTTTTTAATGTTTAATGAATTTTATAGGTTACAAATAAAATGACGGTAATACAATAAAATGTTCCAAGGAGTGGGTAGAATAAACCTAACTTATTTCTTTATACAGACATTCCATAAGATTTAAATGATCTCTTATTTAAGATGGTTTCTATATCTAATATTCCAAAACTTACTAATAACTGTGAAATAAAAAGGYCAAAATGTAAAATTTGCTGTGAGAAATCAAGTTTTAAAACAAAAACTGAGGCTATTATTGGTGCTGAATACTCAYGTATAATCTCTTACAGATGTTACCTCATTAAATTCAGCTATTCTAACCTTTGCTTTAAAGAGATAAATAGTTTTTAATTAAAGAAAACTGACACTGAGCTGTATTCTTTACTTCCAAATGAAACRAGGCAGGGTTGAAGAACAGCTTTCTGTCATTTATCTTATCTTTAATCTCTTGAGGTCAGAGCCAACCAGATAAAGAACAAAGAGTAGAAGCTCTGAACGTCAGGCCGAACCCATGATCTGACTTCAAATTGAAATAATTGGCTTTTATGAARGTAAATTCACTAAAAAARRGGGGRAAAAAGGACCGACCTGGCTGCTCTGCGGGCTGGACGGGTCATACGACGGCACGTAGCTCTTGAGGGGATCAGCGGGGTTGAGGTGAGGCGGGTAGCGGATGGTGGTGTGCGAGAAGTAGGGCGACGGCGCCGGGGGCAAGATGGCCGAGGCCGAAAACTGCAGGGGCGAGTGAGGAGGGGGGCTCCTCGTCGATATAACTGCGAGCAAAGAATAAAAAAAGAACACAGAGAAGAGRGAAGATTTAGATAAAACGAGCATCTGTGAGGCGAAAATAATTAATCGTTATATTTTAGCTTGGGTTAAAGCAGCAGTGACTCACCACTGTGTCCCACACCTGTTAGGCCTGGGTGATGAGGCTGAGAAAAAGTGCTGAGTCGTGGCGAGGAGTCCTGCGGGGAGGTGGGGCTGAACAGCGGCTTCTCTGGCTTCTTCATGGTGGGTGAAGACATATCTGCTGGGGAAAAAAAAAACAGCAAAAACACCCCCCCCAAACACATCAATATATGTGAGTTGTGCAGGAAAGACATAATATTTTAAACACTTCATCTCAAATGCTTCAAAATGATGCACGGTTTGTTGAAATCTGGTGATTTATCACCTGGAAACAAGCTAGTATTGTTAGTTTTTGGTTTGAAAAATCCATTTTTATTGGCTTGGAGTGATGTCATCAGGATTTCCAGCCTTCCAGGTTTCAAAGTTAAGCCAAACTTTATACAAAGGGATTTCCCTGCTAGTAAATCTTCAGCTAGCAGTTAGCTATGTTAGCTAGGAAGGACCTTACTAGCTGGTACTTTAGCTAATATTTCAAACAGTCCCCAACTTTTGACATGACACTTCTTAAGCCCCAAGAGGTTTTCTTGGTCTTTGCTCAAAACACCATGCTGAAATATAATAAAGTGTATCTCAGCTTTTACAACTCTACTCTACTTAAATAATCTTGGTATAAAAATAAAGCTAACACTTGGGAGCTTTTATTAGAAGTGTAAGTATTAAAACAGCTGCTGTGGTTTTAGAGATATTGGGGATGGAAGATTATTTTTGAATTTTTTTTTCACTCATCTGAATAATTTTTCATTAGACAGTATATAACCTATTTAAAACCATAATGAATCAGGCTAAAAACTCTTGGAAACCATAAATCCACTTGTGGACATTACCTGTGCAAAGATTCAAGCTGCTAAAATAAACTGGAGCAAAGTTACAGAGGTTTTAGTAAAGAAATAATTAGGTGTTTTGTCATTCTGCACAGGACAGACATGATGGTTCCATCAATAAATGTTAAAGGGGTAATATTATGTGTTTCTCAGGCATATATTTAAATACTATACCATAATAAAGTGTCTATGTC